ATTGACATTTTGACACTGGTTAATTATTGTTAACAAACGTATCGCCACGTGTTTGGTAAATTGTTGTGTATTGTAAAAAATGCTATATATATTAGAGTAGAGCCATAGAAGAGGATCTAATTGAAAAGTAAATATTTCTTCGCTCAATCTTTCTGTTTTCTCAGATGTCTAAATGGGGATATTTTCTATAGGATGGCTGCAGCGTCTAAAGTGCTCCTGCCCTGTCTATAGGCAAATTGTTTGTGGTCGTCGAAGATTTTAAGATGGGGTTCAAGTTTAAGAAGTACTAGTTTTTCCATGAGCTTTAGAAACGGGGGGGGGGGGGATGGCAATGGATCTGAACTTTACGTTATTGCTGTTTCCAGGTTTAGGGACAGGGACTATTTTAGTGTCTTTCCATGCATCAGGTACGACATTTTTGGAGAAAGAAGCATTTAGGATGTTAGTTAGTGGAGAACACAATGCATCTGCACATTGCTTTAGAACATATGCAGGTATACCATCAGGGCCAAGGCTACATGAGGGCTTGAGCGTTTTAAGACATTTTAGAACATCGAGAGCATTAAAGTCATGAAAGTTTTCAGCTACATGATAGGTAACATTAGAAGTAGTTATAGTAGAAGGACAGCGTATAAAAGACTGATACTGATTTGTTAGCGTATTTGGATTTCTTTGTGGCTGAAAATAGTGCTTAATTGCATTCTCTCAATACTTGGTAGTTAGTAACAATGGATATGCTGCTCTTAAATCATTTAGAATTATTCACATACATATAAATCCTACTTGATCAGTAACCACTGAACGTTGAAACTTGAGCTCATGCATTCCGAAAGTGGCTGTTGTTACTCCTCCTCTACCATTTTCTATGTGGTAATCAATCTAATCTTTAGAATTTCGTTTCATTTGACACTCTTAATGTATACCTCTCTTTATTACTCCTCACTCATGCTCCTGTCCTTAATATTTGACTTCTATTCACACTATTTTGATCGTACGGCTGCACATCAACTTCAACAAATTTGTCAACTTTAGGGTATTTAAGAATTTTTTATAATTATACCAATAAGGCTACTAACACTTGTAATTTTATATACATTCTACTCTTAATGTACTAGATTTGAATGATATTTGGTTGTGCTTTCAAGTGAAATAGTCAAAGAATTTGATCATTTTTTAATAGTGATATTGGAATTGTTCTGATACTGTTGTGGTTAACAGAGTTAAAGTTGAAGTACGTAAAATACTAGAGACCAATTCTCCTGGTGACAGTGAAATCATGCGAAATCTCCTCTTCCTATAATGGTCGACTAGCCTGCAGATTTTATTCGTCAGACAGGCTCCAACCAAACGAATTGGAGTGGCACTTGCCAAAAATATTGACTTCACGATGCAGTGGTTTAAATGTATTAGTCAATTAATTTGTGACTTAATTTCGTTGGAAAATGAACGTGTCGAATGCCAGAGATATTTGCGTTTCAATCGTGTAATTCTTTCACATTCTATGTACCATGTTTACTATTCAGTGTTTGAATTTGATAGGTAGAAACATATCTTCAGGAAAACTGTTAGAGTCTTTCCCATTAGCTCATACACTGAGAAATTGTAATGGGATGATTAGTGTTGCATTCACCTTCAAGCTTAAGTCTTCATGGACGAAACATTTGATATCCACTTCAAAATGCTCTTCGGTTGAAGTATACACAAAAGTTGTGCGAGGCGTTTATGAGACATATGAAGCTCTTCCATAGTAGTGAACTGGAGAAATTAAACAGAGTGGTTTCGAAACTATGTTTCTACAAGTCCAAGTCTGACCTGGAATGGACAAATGGACTTCTGAATAAATGTAGTCATAAGAATGAGTGCGGGGTTAGTTAACACAGAAGAAATATCTCATCTGCTACCTAAAAACGTTGCATTGCCTATAAACGTAAATGTTTTCTTTCGTTATATTACTGAATACAAATGTAGGAGACAGATAAGAGTTGAAGCATGTTGACACTGCTAGGTCCAGATTTTCATAACGAAGGTGGTTTCATAGGAGATTCCGAAGTTCACTGCAGCAGAATGAAATGCATTACTGATTAATTGAACAAATTCAAATCTTTTTGGGTCGACACACTTCGATGAAGTACTGATTGAATGATTAGAAGAAGATAATAGGACTACATCTGAAATATTATGGGGGATTTTGAGGTATGTAACTGGAAGTCCCAAAGACTGATTCTTAACATTCTAACACGTATAACCATCCAAAATGCACATCAAGTGATAACAAATATTGATTTTTAGATCAGTTCGTTTTTCCTTCTGAATAACGTTTACTCCTTTCAAACCTAATCTTGTTTCACTTAAAATCACTGTCTGAAAAAGGTAATGAATTTATGTGTGGAATATGTCTTCTACTTCAAAATGGCGCAGCTTCACTCGATACTGTGTAAATCAAAATGTGACATTACTAGATGGTCAAACAAACTTCAACTGTAAAATAGATTGTATGAACTATATTGGCCAGAGAGGCCATCCTACTCATCTTCACATACATGAATACAAGCTAGTAATCCGAAGATGTGACAAACACTCGTTCATATCAATTCACGGAGACGACTACCGACACAAAATCGGCTGGGGTGATGCAAATATATTAGAGAAAGGAGACATTTAGTATTCCAGAGAATCCCTGGGGTTCCCATAGACAAATCAGTTTCCAGTTAGTCGACATGTTGATATGGATGCAATCTATCAAGCAATGAATAATAAATAGGTGACAGGAGAGAAGGGTCAAAAATAGGGGTGACAAGAAGACCAGTTTCCATGCAGACGAGTACAATCATAGGGAAATCTACGACAGCAGCCAGTTGCAGTAGTCACCAGGAGAGACAAATACTTCATTTATGACGAATTTCAGAAACTCACTTCACTTGAACTTAGCTCTGTAGATATTGTCTGAAAGGGTAATGAAAGTTTCGCAGTTAAACCATCAAACCTAGATACCTTCTGATTTGATAAGGTAACCATTCATGCTAGAACTATGGGATAAGTGATTCATGAGAATGGTTTTAACAGATTTTTAGTGGATATCACTTTCAAGTCCGGAAACAACTGACGCTAAATTTATTAGTTATCATGCACTGGTTCTAAACAAGTGCGTTCCGCAGTTAATTTTTTCACCATTCTAGATTGATTTGTGCACAGATCAATGATGAATCCACCTCAATGTTCAGTGAAATTTATTTCGGCATAGTCACTCTAATCTTACATATGCAATTTTAAACCCGGAACTACATTCACGATATTTCTGCAGTTACTAAAATGACTTGGAAGAACATGATTCGTACAAATATGCGTTGAAAAACAATTCGTTATCACACTAAATCTTCTTTGGTTAGCTTTGTTTTCAAACCATAGTAGATATGCTATTACCTCTGTTATTTGGTTTAGTGATCTTCATTGTTATTTTGACCCTGAATATGTCCTTTTAACTTGACGTCACCTATTAATTCTTTATTGATTTCATATATATTCCTATGACAAATCTGTGTGTGCTGAATCAGATTGTTCAAAATGTTTTGCGCAAATACATTTCATAACTCAGATAAATTACGTCTTATCATTGTTTTGTCTTTATTTATGATCAGTTATTAACTGGTTTCATTGTAGTGAGATTCAGACATCGTTAACATCAGCTAACCATATCTCCTTCTCACCAAAATCGAATACGGTGTAGAAATTCCTCATAAATACATAGCCAAGAACCCAAGCTCCAGGGGGGACTCCATCGCTTTTAGTGAATGGTGATGTACACTCTGTCTTCAACCAGTTGACTTCCTGAAAGCGAAAATGAAACGAATTTTATAAATCTCATTGATTCACAATCTCGAAAATGGAAATTAAAACAACCATAGGAAATGAAGAAATTCACCAACTTTCCGGCTAAATTTGTCTGTTTAGAAGCTGAAACCAACATTTTGCATAGAATTGGTGATTATTTCTGTGTAGAATGAATGATAATCGTGGAGCTGGATGACACTTGCCGATGTAAGAGAGGAAGAAATGAAACTAAGGAACAGTATTCCGCAAAACTGAAGAAGAGACAGGGAGATATTTTCAGTGAAATTCTCTGAAGTCTTCTGTTGACAGCATTTTGAGAACTTTCTTTGCCACTTATTTCACCTCACCTGCACTTGGTCACCAAATCGGCAAAGCCAAGTTGTGGGTTTTGGTGACTTCAGTGTCAATTCACCAGCTTCATGTCTCCTATGGAGTCAATTACGTGGACTGTACTAACAGGACATTGTGTAAGTAGGCCGATGAACACTTGCCAGCATGGTAATCTAAGGAATGAGGTAGTACAGGACAGACAACGACTCAATTTTGGAGCACGATGTTACTTCTTGGAACGTTGCATCAGAACAGAGTCACTTCAAAGTCATATGTGAAATACGACCAGGCAGTTCAACTGGATTTCGCCTACATTTCATGTAACCAAGGCTTCTGGAATCCACTGGGAAAAACCGGGACTTTGTATTCAAACACCTTTTTATCCAGCCTCCTTTACTAAAGTGTCTTTAGTGACAATTTTGTTGTGTAAAGAACTTTATGCAGTATTTGCACATTTTTTAATATTTTTTGTAACTCACTCTCAATGCACCGATCTCTAGCTCTTATATGTCATTTCCAAGTAACTACTAATTATTACATAAGTAATTGGCAATCAACCCTCTCGATTATTCATAATTTTTCGCACATTGTTGTGTCGATGGATCTCACCTTTGTTGTCAGATAACACTGTATATATAAACCCTAAATAACTGTTCAGACTCGAAGTCAGGTTACGAAAAGAGATCTCTTTCCTTAATAAGGCCATTTCAAAAACGACGAAATTCACCTGTATTTTAAAATGTGTTGCCATTTCTTAAATGCAAACCAGTGGTATTGATAAGGAAATTCCCATCGAGGTGCCGATCACAAGAAAATCACAATGTTCAACCGAATTCTCATACTTACCTTAAGCACATAGTTCTTCGCCTCAAGTACATAGCTCTTCTTCTTGAAGACAAACTCAATAGGAGGGAGCAGGTTAATATCATTACAGTTTAATCCATACTCCTCATCCCCAACCGGCTTGGCCCCAAGTCTAGAATTAATCGTTTTCACCGTTTCATTCGATCCCGTTATCAAAGATGTGCCAGTGGATATATAAGCAACGCACGTTTCTTTGCAATATTCTACTCCATTTATCTTCATGCTGAACATGGTAAAACAAATACAACTGAAACATTAACCAGTCTATGCAGTGAAGAGTGTATTGATATGAATTAATCCAATCACAAAAACACTCATCCTAATAATCAGATGCAATGGGTATACTTAGTTCTCCTCAGTCATCTCCACACGAATACACAAATCCCTGTCTGTTGATTAACTTTCAGCTCTCATCAGAATTTCTTGCACCTTCACCCAATAACAGCCTTCACTAAATCATTCTAATGACTTTCTTCACTGGAATACTCGTGAACACATACAAAACATGCTGAAATTACGCACACCATGAAAGTTTCCACTTGAGATTGCTCAAGGCAATTTGACTACACACTATCAGCATTTCAAATGGCATTCGTTTCCAGATAAACCACTCAGGCTGTCAACAGATTAAAATCAAATAGATGACACTTTCTTCGATAACTCAGTGAAAGTTGGCCAGTAAGTGGTCACGCCAGCATCTGTGTGTTTATCGCACGTAAAAATGGAAAGTTACCATATGTTATGTTGTTTGGTAGAAGAGGAATCGGTTTTCATGTGTTGAGGTGATGGTGGTCAAATGACTGCTTTATTTGTACTCGAAGAGAGTATTTTAGGTTCAAACCAACTATAATAAATTAGGGATGCAGAATAAATGTCCACTAATTTGTCATCTGAAATTATCAAGTCATATCTCATCCAATAGACTTTTACTTGAGTGTATGACTTTTATTACTGGAAAAAGTGGGAATTGTTGCGTGTAATAAATATACTTTGATTAGAATACATAACTGTGACAACCACTCCACATTTTCTGTGACCTTAGTGTTCACGTGAAAAATTGATATCCTTTCGACAACGCAAAAAGAAGACGTAGTTTATCTGAAACGTGTAATGTATTGGCGCAACACATTTCCGACATTCTGATCACACACGTATTTGTCATACACAGTGTTTAAAGAAGACAAGAAGGCACGAATAATTACAATACAGGTCAGATTGTGTACAGGTCAATGTCACCAATAGTGTGTGGGGAGACGCAAAGGTGTGGATAAGATAGAAGCGATTGAAAATATTATGAATTAAATTGGTCCTTGGTTCTTTTTATGGCTGGTTGGGCCACGTACTTAAATTCGTTGAAGTCTTAGCCATAAGAAGATTAAAAATCTGTGTTATGTGTCCAAAAGTTATTTGTTATTGCCTTAAACCTGCCTTGGTAATCCAATTTAGAACCAAGGATCAATTTACTTCATAATATTTTCAATCCTTTCTTTGCTTCGTTTTTCTCTTTTTCTCTTTCTTACCCACATCTCTGCGCCTCCCTACCCACTGTTTGTGACCTTGACCTGCATTGTTATTACTCGTGCCTTCTTGCCTTCTATAAACACTGTGTATGACAAATACGTGTGTGATCAGAATGTCGGAAATGTGTTGCGCCAATACATTACACGTTTGAGATAAACTACGTCTTCCTATTGTGTTGTTGAAATTCATAAAAGGAACTAATTACTTTAAATAATATCTTTGCCCATGAAATCATGCAAGCATCAATTGACTACCTTTTGAGTGTAACAGTCCAACTGTCTTTATAAATGACAGGCAAGTTTTCGAAATCTCCAATAAAATATTCAGGATTGACACCACCAATCACCATCTCTCCACCAGCAGGACCGTTTTTCCTACAAAATATCAGACACGAATTTGAGGAATTACTAAAACGGCTAGCAACGTGTTCAACTTCATGTTTCCGCAAATAGGTGAATAGCAATCAGAATAAACGTTATTTATGAATTTGAATGAAATCACAGAATTTAATGATTGTCTCCAACACTTCATATTCCAAGGGTACTGAAGCTGTAAATGAAAGTTGAGCTGAAGACTCTTTCTGTCATAACCATCTAAAAGACAATTTAAGTGAATTACTAGCCAAGTACTTTAGTTGATGTGTACCTTCGGTCACACATTTCATTTCTTTAAATTCAGTCCAAAATTTGTAGGCAGAAAGTGTTTTTAATAATGAAATCTTATGATTGTCTCAAATCATTTCCTTTCTCATATATTCCACTTAAATATTATGGGGGAGATTTACGTTAAGCATATATTTAAAGCCACTTAAACTTAATTAAGTAGTTTCAGTGAATCTGTATGCCAAATAAGTAGATATTGAGTCAGAAATCATTGGAAAACGTAACAGTATACCACTGGAATATCAGCCATATACAGCAATAGAATTATTCTTGGTGCATCGCAAACAAGAACCCACCGGCTCAGATAGAAAGAAATTACTGGATCTATATCCTTGAATTGAGAAAGTAGATTCGGGAAGAATGGAGTGTTCCCATATCTCGACACATTTCCTATTTGCATACCAATGATTCCGTCACATTCGTAAACAGAGAAGACTAAGGTAAATACATTTGTTACTTCAGCGAACGCCTGATTACGAATAACTAAGGAGTTTAGCTAAAACCATTGTCGCTTCGAGTTATAAAAGCACAATACCTGCATTGTATCCATACTCCAAAATCCAGAGTAACTGCCAATCAGGTAATAAATATGAAATTCAGTACCATTTGGCTTGTAGGTAGATGATTTCGAACTGTCGTAAAATCGAATGAACCAACACGGAATGTCAAGATACCAACATTTTCTTGAGGGGAACCAGGTGTCGGTTGATCCTGTATCGAACATTACACGAAACGTTTGTGGTGGCATTCCCACTTGTATTTCTCCATAGTATTCATACTTAAAAAGATATAATAAACATAAGATTCTGAAAACCTGAATGTTTCTGATATCGTGATGAAGTGGTGTACATCAAAAGATAATATCACACAATTTTATAAGGCTTCGACAAACCCCTTTTGCATTTGGCAGATATATTCTTCTCTGAAATGATATTTATTTGAAAACCACTTAAATTTTGATTTAACTAGAAATACGACTTGGAACACTCAATTGGTGCTAGCGGCTTAGTGAAGTGTGATAAGTGTTCATAATTTAAACACTGTGGGAGAGTCGAAGTCTATCATAGAATACTTTTATTTTGCTCTCCAAGGGAGATAGTACTATTTATTTACTTATGACGCATAGAACCCAATAGTTTCCTTCAACTATTAATACTCTTACTTCAGTTTGTTTCTTTACCCATCTCGTTCACACCTGAACTCGCCAAATCCATTTAGCATATTGCTGAGTTATTTTCTAGTCCTGTGTTATTTTGTTTCTAAGCCTCTTGTGATCTGTATTCACACCTTCTAACTTCCTTATAAAGTTTAAAATTATTGTGTCCTTTATGCTCTTTGGCTGAATTGAATGATAGTTGTAGCCGTGTGAACTTCTGTACAAAACGTGTTGTTCAGCTTATGTAGATTAAATCTCCGAATAGATATCTTTGTAAGGCTTCTAGCTCATTTCTCAATAAATTTATAACTGAAGATCAACTTACATTATGAAAGTTATACAGTTGTTGTGATTTTGGTGTTTCTCCTCCACTCCATAATTTCATCCAGCTTCGCTGTATTCCCCTCAAGAACTTCCAATACGGATTTAGAATTGACTTAATTCCGGTCACGGGATGCAAAGGAATCTTGATTATCTCAGAATTCACATGATACAGACAGATGAGAAGTATGATCAGATTCATTGCAGTGAATAGTCAAAGGAGAAGCGGAAATGCTGGCAGTGTCTTTCTGTTTATATACACACTGTTATATTGACATGCTCACAACGACGGAATTTCTGATTGGAGATCATCTAGATTTAGTCTGTTGTCGGTGTGTTATTTCGTGATGTGTGAAAATCATGATACGTGTGAACTTAATTCATGTATAGTGTTAATTCTGTATTCTGTACATTCTGATTCAATCCTGGATACAACATTAATGTGTATATGTGACTGAGTTTTCATCGCCATAAGCATGCTTCATTCAAGATGTGTCTAAATATGTTTAATTTGTTTAATTGAGAAGTTCTGTTTTGATATTCTACATAAGGAACATTCGAATTGAAAATTATTTTCGGTGACTTCTATCTCGGGCTGCTCGGTTTCACATCTTTAATTGGTTGAGTGCGGACGACGGTGAAGTCGGATATGTAAACATATAAGTAGGAAGATCGTATTATTCGACCAATCAAATCGGAGTGCATGAAATGAAAGAAGATAAATGTTGGGTGAAAAATGAAGGTTAGGAAAACGTTGACATCTTCCTTCTCATTACTCAAAACAAGCTTAACACATGTTATATATATATTTTTTGATTTTTGGTTACAGCTTGATTCCACTCCGTATTTTTCGGTACAGGTATGGAATTTTCAGCATGTGGTATCGGTAGCCCAAATTCTGCTGGCCGACCACAGATAATAGGTGTGCGTCTGCAGGAGGTCGAACCCCGGACCATGGTCAAGCGAGAGTCCTAACTAATTCTGATGTAAAACACTTCTTCCCATGCCTCACCTCAGCGTTCACATGAAATACGTTAAGAATAATAAATTTGTTTGTATTTACTTATTTTTAGTAATCACACAGATCTTCACTGTTTACTTATTCTTTGACCCGGGAGATGAAAGGACAACCACTTCTTACAAAATATTACACACACATTCATTAACTTTCAACAACTTAAGTAGAACTCTGATTCTCGAAAATAACGTCTCTATGAGATAATGTGCGGAATGTAATGTACTAGAAGAACATCACTGTGTATAGGACGAAAGATAACATCTGCTTTAATCAATGCACAATATGGTATGTTTATTTGAATTAATCAAAACACATGACTAATTATCACATAATCTGTCTCACTAACATTTTCATAGTTGTACAGGAGTTCTGGCGTTGGTGTTTCTCTTCTACTCCGTAATTTCATCCAGCTTCGTTGTAATCCTCTCAAGAACTTCCAATACGGATTTAGAATTGACTTGATTCCAGACACTGGATGCAAAGGAATCTTGATTATCTCAGAATTCACATGATACAGACAGATGAGGATTATGATCAAACTCATTGCAATGAATACGGGAGGAAGAGGAGAAAAAGTTGGCAGTGTCTTTCTGCTTATATCTACACACTGTTATATTGACATGCTCGTCAGGATGGAATTTCTGATTGGAGATCATCTAGATTTAGTCTGTTGTTGGTGTGTTATATCGTAATATGTGAAAATCATGATACGTGTGAACGTAATTCACTTTTTAGTGGTGATTCTGTATTGTTTACATCATGGTTTCATTTGGGATGCAGTATATATGTGTGTGACTGAGTTTTCATCGCAATAAACATAGTTCATTCGAGATATATCTGAATATGTTTAATTTGTCTAATTGAAAATTCTGTTTTGATATTCTGAATAAGGAACATCGGAGTTAACAAATGCTTTTCGGTGACTTCTATCTCAGGCTGCTTGTTTTCAAATCTGCAAATGTTTTCATGCAAGGGACGGTAAGGTTGGAAATATGGTCATATCAGTAGGAGTAAAATAACAAATAGAAATGAATAAAACTTTATGTGAAAATTATGAAGATAAAAGTATTTCTACCTCTGACGTATAACAAAGAGGCCGGGTGGTAAAGTTCTTATTTTCTCCATCAAATTCATTTGATCTATGGACATTTCCTCTATCTTTCCGATTGTTGTTTTCGGTGCTTTGACTTTGAACACTTTTCGATATTATTTCACTTGTTCCTCTAGTTGTTCTTGTTAAATGTATACACGTTTTGTAATATTGAAATCTGTCTTATTAAACTTCTCACCATGTGACGAAATGCTTCAGTTTTCCTACTAATCATAATAATCTTATTAATTTCAATTCCCTCCTCAAGATCTACACATTTTATGAACTATTTTAGGTGTGATATAACTTCTTTTACCTATCAATCTCAAAATGTGATTATAATCACAAATATTCTATTGCATATTGCATTAATAACATGAGTATTCACACCGTTTGTTTAAATTTCCTCACAGAATGTAGTTTCTTACAAGTCATAGGTTAACAAATTTATAATATGATAATAAATTTGTTGAAGAGTCCCCTTGACGAATAGTGCGTTCCTTATGTCACAATAGGGAGATATTATATTTCTGTTATAATAGTTCCTTCCATTTCGTCAACGTCTTTATGTTTCTATCAAATTTGCTCAAATGTTCATTTTCTGAAACTGTCCCACCAAATCACATCTATCGAGGGACTATGTACAGCTGTTTGATTAGGTAAAGACCAATGAAATGATCAATGAAATTCAGAGAGCACTCAACAGCTACTTAGTCTGATCTTGGTACTCTTCGGCAGTGCACACCCATAACTACACACCGGCAGAACCTTAGACCTTCAGACGGCCTGCTTAAATCTTGGGCTATCAAATACCTTAATCATTACAAATCATATTGCATCTAATTGCTCACTTCCAATTTTATTTTAAATAATTAAATTTTATTCTAATATGTCCTCAAATCGGATTATTTATCCTCGTGAGTATTTAATATCCCTAAAACCTACTGATCGGAAATGCCATAAAAAAGACAAAAAAAAGCATCACGCCGGGTGGCAAAGAGCCTTAAAAAACACCCCTATTCAATTTATGACCGTTCCTGCAATCATGAGTACTAACTGTCGCTCCCTGCCAGCCAAGATTAACTATCTTCAATCACTTGTGTCTTCCATTATATATCGAAATACTGGGATCATATCACTTCAAGAAACATGGCTACACGATCTGTACGATGACAATCTAGTGTATCTAAATGATTTCAAACTATTCAGACAAGATCGATGCAGTTCTAGGAAGAAACGTGGTGGAGGTGTCGCCATCTTCATAAATTCACAATGGTGTACATCTAATAAAGTATGTTTCAAATTCTCTAGTGACAACATTGACTGCCTCACCGTCAAATGTCGACCTAAGCATTTGTCAAAATATAACTACATATACATCTCGAACATTTATATTGCACCTGGATGCAATTCCACTGAATTGTCTTTATTTGCTGATGAATTTACCTCCTTTGCTGCCACCTCCTTCGGAAACTCGTTGTCTATTGTTACTGGAGATTTCAATTCTAGTGATCACAATTTCCTTATTTCACTTGGTCATGATAACATTGTCAACTTCCCGACTCGAATGGATAATATTCTAGATCTTGTGTTCACAAATGACATAGGATTATTTGAAGCTCGGAAAAGAGCCCCACTACTTAACTCTGATCACTGCATCATAAGAGTATTGCCCAAGGTATATGGAAAGCTGCACAAAAGGGTCTTCTCCCACCTTGGAAAGAAAACACAACACAGATGCTATTCACATGATAACATACAGAATCTAAGGACAATGTTAAAAGACACAAACTGGGACCTGTTTACTGAACAAGCTCTTGACAACACAATTAGTAACATAACACATTATCTCAATTTCTGTCTTGATGTTTGTTGTCCTAAAGAGACAATCTTCTTAAAGTTCGACCGTTTCGCCTCATCTCAACTCAAAAAGCTTCGCCGTCAAAAAGAGAGGTTATACAAAATGAAAAATAAATCTGGTGTTAAGAGAATAAACACTTTGATTAAAGCCGAATTACAAAGATTAAATGCTCTCTATAACCAGAAGTTTCTTTCATGTAAATCCTCATCTAATATGTGGAAGCTATTAAAGGAAATCACAGGTGGTAAGCAAATAATGAATGATACTTCTGTCGATGTTGATATGCTTAATAAATCCTTCATATGTATCCCTGCAGATGTTATGATTCCCAAATCTAATAGTATAAATAATGACTGCTTTTCATGTTTTAACACGAATGATGTCCTCAAGTGTCTTCAATCTCTCAAACCTACCCAGTCCCTTGGTCCTGATGGAGTTCCTGCTGTTATCCTTAAGAAGTGTGCTGACATCTTATGTTACCCATTAACTGACATTTTCAATGAATCTTTTTCCAAAGGTTTTATTCCTGACTCATGGAAAAATATCAAGGTTGTTCCAGTGCCCAAATCAACAAGTGGACCTACTGTCAAGTTTAGACCCATTGCTATTACCTCACCTTTTTTAAAAGTTATGGAAAGACTTATTTTACTTAATCTTGAACCCTCTTTAAAGCCTTTTAACGACCCCAACCAGTTTGCCTATAAACATAGTAGGTGTACCCTAGATGCCGCTGTAGTTCTATATCATAATATAGTCTCTAGTTTAGATAGAGGAGCCAAATATGTTCGGTGTGCCTTCCTTGATTACACATCTGCATTTGACTCTGTACCTAGGTCTCTCTTGTTAAGTAAGCTTGCTGCAACACAGAGTGAGAGCTGGATAAATAAGTGGTTGTATTCCTACTTTTCTGATAGGAAGCAGTACACTGTCTACAATGGAAAGTCCTCCTCTACCTCACTTACTTTAGCTGGTGTTACTCAAGGTGCCGTTCTTTCTCCTTTTCTGTTTTCTTTTTTCTTACATGACTTGCCCCATTCTGATGTAGCCACTTTTGTCAAGTATGCTGATGACCTCTCTGTCTCCATGCCTGTCAACTCTCAGTCAGACTGTTCCATATTAAATAACTTTCTCTCGGAAATTAGTCAGTGGTCCTCTTCAAACGGTCTTAAGCTGAATCCGTCTAAATGTCAGGTAGTAAATTTTACTTTCAGACGAAAACATGACCTTCAACAACTAGCTAGCTCACATGGTCCCACTATCATTGACGGCATAGAGGTTGAAACTACATCAGATGTCAAGTACCTTGGACTGAGTATTTCCTCCGATCTTTCCTGGTCCTCTCACATCTTGCTAGTGACTAGAAAGATGTTTCGCTTAACGTTCTACCTTAGGAAGTTTAGGCAGTCTGGTATAAAGCAGTCTTTACTTTCTCAGTTTGTCAATTCCTGTATTCTACCCATCCCTCTTTACTGCTCCCCATTAATCTTTCCTGGACTACTTAAGAAAGACTTTGCTTCGCTGCGTAGGGCACTAAAAGCTGTTAGTAGGGCAAGTGGGATATCGTTAAACCAACTGGTTAACACCATAGTGGATAGACATATAATGTCATGTAAGAAACTAGCAAATTCTATATTGTCAGACCCTGAGCATCCTCTCTATACACAGCTCTCTCCTTGCATTTCATCTGGTAGAACTAGAAGTAACTATAGGAAGCTATATGCCAGGACTACCAAGTATAAAAACTCCACAATACCTTATCTGGCACAGCTGTTATGTGATGAGAAAACTGTTAGGCATGACATGATCAATTTACTGCGGCACTCTAACAAATAGTTCCCATTAGCTTTTGTTCTCCTTTCTTTGTTACTATTATATTGTTGCTCATATATTCTATTACAGACTAATTTTATATATCATATCCTGTGGTGCATTGTTTAAATATGTGAATGCAATGCTGTTCTTTTTTTTTCTTTTATTTCTCCTTGTCTTTTTGTTGTTGTTGCTTTATATTTCTAAATCCTTATAAAATTTATGAGGTAATTAGATGCAATATTGTAATGAACGTTGAAAATTCCATACCTGTACCACAAATACTGTTTGGAATAAAGCCATTATTATTATTATTATTATGAAACAAAACTGGTAGACTATTCATGTTCAATATGGTATTTTGATTAGTATTTTCTACTTATGCTTCTTGCTGTGTTCTCAAGACATTTCACAATATTTCTATAACATTTAATAGGTACATAACTAAGGAAGTAAGTGTACTGTTCTGTGAATGTGTCTTCCTCATACATGCTTCTTCCAAGTGAACCATTTTCTTTCCTACTTGTCAAGGCCTCCGGAAAATAGAGAGTGTTCTCTTGATGCAGTTGTTGCGTAGAAATGAGACAAGAGCGGATATTATTGAATTTCATGAATAATTCATTCTTATTAATATTCTCATGAATTCAGACAACTGTATCGTCCTTATAGCGACAATGTGCGTCAAAAGATCACTTTCAATTTCATAAGGTAAATGTTCTCTAGAATCGGATTTGATTGTGAGCCCATACAGATTCTATCTAGTTGTCGGTTATATATATATATATATATATATAGTTGAATACAAAATGTACATTATATATTAAACGATTAAATTTGCAACGATACAGAGTAATCACTTATTCTATTGACTTCGACTAATTGGTTGGCATATGTAGTCTACTGTCTCAACATTTGTGAGCAAGGAGGATGAATCAGTGGATATTAAAGTATTGTTTGTCACATTCCTTCTCAGATATTCTGCAGGAGAAGACAAAGTGCATTAAATCGGCACCTCATAATTTTTTCGTGCAAAAGTTCGCGGATTTCAACCAATCAGTTTTTGTTTCAGTGATATACTGACTCAAACGTATCTAAAACTAAACGAGTAGGATCTTGCGATGCGCACAATGTGGGTAGATCTTAAAGTTTTGAAGCGTTGATCTCTGTTGGATTCATCAATTCATACGTCGTTGTCGACACCATTACTCTCCGATGCAACTTCCTAAAACAATCACTCATTCGTTGCTCAGCTTTGACATTTAAACTGATACTTAATTTGACTTCTCAAAATCGATAACATTTCTTTCACGCAGTCGTCCTCATCTCATAACACTGCACCTCCACCATTATCAGACCACTTACAGTTCCCCTCCCATTTCCTCTATATTCTCTTCAAGATTCTGTTTCTCGGACAAGTGACAAACACTATATAACTGTGTGCTATACAAAATAAACCTACTCAATACAGTACTATGTTTTACCCAAATTATTTCCATACTCTTGTGGCATAATAGTTAAAGACTGTTTTAATCCATCTCTTTCAATCCACCATTCCTTTTACTTAGCATTGATCTACTGAGTCGATCCAAACATTTCTCTGTGTTATTATGCGTCTCCATTATTTTTCGTCTCACAGATCGCTCTATCTTAATCCCTTTTGTGACAGGGTCATTCTTTTTATGACAAGCTCTTTATACCATTGGTGAAGCACCATAAAAGCACCGTGTTAAATTCTTCTTTAGAAATTCATGCATTTCAGATTAGGAACTTATGAAATTTAATCAAAAACTTTTCATTAGATGCCATTCTAAATTCATTCAGTGAATAGAAACTTCCCAACCATTTAGCAAAAATTACACTCGCTTACGACGTGAGGCTAAGTACAGCGACTGAACAAATTGAAGTGATAATAACGCACCTGCGTATGTGCATATTTTTCAGTATGCTAAAAAGCATGAGTCTTTATTTCAGGACTAGCATTCCTAAAGTGAGAATCAGTTACAGTGCTGAATATTTAAGTGGCTTTCATCAATAAGTTTCTTGGAATAAGCTCAGATATTTCTTTGTCATCACCTGTTTTGACAAACACAAACTGATGGATGCGTTTGGAAGAAACATGGAGTGAAGATTTGTCAGCTGTAGATTGCTTAGGTAAACGAATTTATTTGTAAACAGTGACAAATTTAGCGGCTGATAAACCCCTAAAACCAGCTCAAATGTTGTCCTGTTCATTCGTTCCTATTCGTATAAATTGGATTTTGTCTCATGTGTGGTGCTTCTGCTATAAAACCCCTTATTACATGCAGACTTTACTGAATGATTCTATCATTAAGAAAGACAGTATTATGGTCCCACCTATGAGTACGCCAGGTCGCAGTTGAAGATTTTTCGAATATTTCATGTCTTATAAATCTTTCAGGTGATCAAAGAGTAGGTTCAGCCTACTCCTTGTTCCCACCTTGGCTTCTCAAGGAGCTTGTTCGATGAACATTCTGTCACAAAATGAACACATTATACCACGAATAGAATCATATTTAGAACCTTCAAAGATTCTGTTGAATTTGTTATATACAACTTTGGTGTCATTTTATGTGGCAGTCTATTGAGGTTAAAACTGTTGCAGTTTATAATTTTATAGTACTTTCTAGGTTACATCCTATGCTAATTTACATTTAGGGATGGAATCTCACAGGTGATCACATATCACTCCATGAAATGTAGTTAAAGGCTTGTTTCTCAATTATCATTTAATCATAAATAGTTAGTAATAGTTACACAGTGTCAGGATACTTAAATCAGTAAATCTGAGCTAACTTCGATTCTGATCTTACATGATCCTAGCATCAAACATGACGTATCCCGAAAAACCTTCTCCTTTACTCTGTCCAAACAACATCTAGTTATTTGAGTAAGCAGAGATGAGTTTAAAGATACCGCATCATTGTCATAGACTTTGATCCAGAGGCTGATGCTGCCCTTACTGAAACAACCTCCTGATACCAATAAGATAAATTTTGTAGATCAACCATTTTGGTTGGGTGTATTTTTGGATTTCAACACTTACGTTGTATATGAATGTCTCAATCTCTTAAATGCCAAATGACGATCATAATTAAAGTAACGCACACTATGATCGTAAGTGATTTTAGTCAATTCACTACCCAGATTATCTTTGTGATACATGAACGTCTTCGAGAGAGCTCGTCTTGACTAGTATAGCTTATTGGGTCATTCTGATACATATGCTCAACTAGAATGTCAAGGTGACGAGTTTTACTCTTGATGGGGCATCGAATTCTAAAGTTCATGTATACACTATTGGCGGTGGATATAATGCAATCATTAACTATCAAAGCAAGGTGGTATCAGGCAAACTAAAATATTGAATGATTATTGTCTGAGGTCTTTGCACAGTTTGTCTGATTTCTTCAGGCAAAGCTATGTGCGAATACGTCCAGTGGCGAACGCTAGCAACATTGTCAAGACGATTATGTTGTAGAAATCTTGTGAAAATATAAATTCTCAGAACAGTTTGTGATTCTCATGGTGGATCAATGTGAATGTATGAATTACGAAACAGATGAAATATGCAGAAGCATTAACTAACCGGTAGACAAGTACAGTTAATCAGATATTCATCAGCAAGACAGAAATGTCAACTTTCTGAGATGGAAAACTTCAACTTGAGATCCAAATAACGAACAGTTATGTCCTTCGTATGCTATTGTTCACATCGAAAATCGCAAAATTCGTAAAACTGAACTTGCTATGTTCTCATTAAAGTTTATTTTTAGTTTAGTTAGTATGTGATCATTAAAATGCTCATTTTAGTTGCTTATTTTAAAAAGGCAGGTTCCTCAAATAATTTTGTAGACTGAAATTCATTATATTAAAAGCGTTTCCCGATGTAGTTATTAAAATGCCACATGTGATACTATTCTAAACGGACGTATACACCCTCATCAATTATCCATTTTTCGAAAGATCTTCAAGAAATAAATGATATGTGCTAAACAAGAACTTCTTAATTTATTTCGTAAAACATGTTTATGTTCAGTGATTTACTGGTTTCGGTACCAAAAGCTTTATCCATCGTTAACATCAGCCAATCTTATCTCCCTCTCACCGAAATCGAATACAGTGTAGAATTTTCTCATGAATACATCGCCAAGAATCCAGAATCCCTTGGACAATTTACCACTGCCTCTGAAAGGTGATAGACAGCCTGCTGATAGCCAGTTGGAATCCTGAAACGTGAAAATGGAAAGACTTTCTTCAGATTTCTTTAATTCAGTGTCTAGAAATGACTATAGATAATAATTGCATCAGAATTCTAATTCAACTACTTCGTCATTTTATCTCACCCACTATCGCAATTTTAGTGTCATCGTACCCGATCAATCTGAGTGGATTCTTGAAATTTGTCCTATTGATATTTAGTCACTGTGAGTCATTTAGCTGATCAGCTGTACGTTCCTATTCGAGAATCCAAATGCAACAGAAGATCCCGAAGTTGCTGAATCTAGTGAGCAACAAAGATAATCCCTGTTTTTGTTATAGGTAGAACAGTGTATTATTACGCATATATTTATGATAGGTGCTCGGAATCGGGGGCGAAGGACTTAGTCAACCTAATGCCGACTTTGTGACACGACTGGATTGAAATAGTTCCATGAAATGCTTATAAGAAGAACATATCGCTTACAAAGAGAAACTTACTCTTATAAATGAATAACAGTGACACTGTCTATCTGTTCACATGGAGTTCAAAATGTGTTGAAATTTATTTCATAACAACAAGTATGATTTACGCGTTTTTGTAAGACGGATGACTGACCTTGACTGACTCAGCGATAGCTGGCTACCAATTCAGGCATACTTTATTCACTGACGATTTAAAATAAAATGATGGTTGAAATATTCACAACGAAGAATGAATAAACGTTTGCTCATCACAGAATATCAGAAAATTCAACTGAAATTCTATACTTACTTTAAACACGTAATCTTTTGCTTGATATACATATCTTCTCTCCTTGAAGCTAAACTCAATGGCAGGAAGGTTATTGAGATTACCGCAGTCGACTACATACTCCCCATCCGTTGCAGATACGGCGCCGAGTTGGGAATTAATTTTACCCACCACTGCATTAGAT